TCTTTCCAGATTATACGGGCAGCTAGCATAGCCAGGATGCCCCGACTTGTTGCAATAGGCTGCTACCCTACAACAATGTTTGGATAGTCACTGATGAAGGCAAAATATTTTTCAATTATACCTCTAACAGACTGTTGTCGACGTCACCGCGGTGTTAGCTGTGCATTAACGTGTTATTTGTTTTTCCTCACCTTCCTGTGCAGCTAAAATGCCTTCCTGTTCAATTGAAATCCTCTTGGTTTTCATTAGTGTGTGTGAGAGCGTTTCAGTAGTGTGTGTGAGAGCTAAATTTCAGTAGTGTGTGTGAGAGCGTTTCAGTGTGTGTGTGAGAGCGTTTCAGTAGTGTGTGTGAGAGCGTTTCAGTAGTGTGTGTGAGAGCTAAAATTTCAGTAGTGTGTGTGAGAGCGTTTCAGTGTGTGTGTGAGAGCGTTTCAGTAGTGTGTGTGAGAGCGTTTCAGTAGTGTGTGTGAGAGCGTTTCAGTAGTGTGTGTGAGAGCATTTCAGTAGTGTGTGTGAGAGCTTTCAGTAGTGTGTGTGAGAGCGTTTCAGTAGTGTGTGTGAGAGCGTTTCAGTGTGTGTGTGAGAGCGTTTCAGTTGTGTGTGTGAGAGTTCAGTGGTGTGTGTGAGAGCGTTTCAGTTGTGTGTGTGTGTGAGAGCATTTCAGTTGTGTGTGTGAGAGCTAAAATTTCAGTAGTGTGTGTGAGAGCGTTTCAGTAGTGTGTGTGAGAGCGTTTCAGTAGTGTGTGTGAGAGCGTTTCAGTGTGTGTGTGTGAGAGCGTTTCAGTGTGTGTGTGAGAGCGTTTCAGTAGTGTGTGTGAGAGCGTTTCAGTTGTGTGTGTGAGAGCGTTTCAGTAGTGTGTGTGAGAGCGTTTCAGTAGTGTGTGTGAGAGCGTTTCAGTAGTGTGTGTGAGAGCGTTTCAGTTGTGGTGTGAGAGGCGTTTCAGTTGTGTGTGTGAGAGCGTTTCAGTATGTTGTGTTGTGAGAGCGTTTCAGTAGTGTGTGTGAGAGCGGTTTGTGAGAGCGTTTCAGTGTGTGTGTGAGAGCGTTTCAGTAGTGTGTGAGAGCGTTTCAGTAGTGTGTGTGAGAGCTAAAATTTCAGTAGTGTGTGTGAGAGCGTTTCAGTAGTGTGTGTGAGAGCGTTTCAGTAGTGTGTGTGAGAGCGTTTCAGTAGTGTGTGTGAGAGCGTTTCAGTTGTGTGTGTGAGAGCGTTTCAGTAGTGTGTGTGAGAGCGTTTCAGTAGTGTGTGTGAGAGCGTTTCAGTAGTGTGTGTGAGAGCGTTTCAGTTGTGTGTGTGAGAGCGTTTCAGTAGTGTGTGTGAGAGCGTTTCAGTAGTGTGTGTGAGAGCGTTCAGTGTGTGTGTGAGAGCGTTTCAGTTGTGTGTGTGAGAGCGTTCAGTAGTGTGTGTGAGAGCGTTTCAGTTGTGTGTGTGAGAGCGTTTCAGTAGTGTGTGTGAGAGCGTTTCAGTTGTGTGTGTGAGAGCGTTTCAGTTGTGTGTGTGAGAGCGTTTCAGTAGTGTGTGTGAGAGCGTTTCAGTAGTGTGTGTGAGAGCGTTTCAGTTGTGTGTGTGAGAGCGTTTCAGTAGTGTGTGTGAGAGCGTTTCAGTTGTGTGTGCGTGAGAGCGTTTCAGTAGTGTGTGTGAGAGCGTTTCAGTAGTGTGTGTGAGAGCGTTCAGTTGTGTGTGTGAGAGCGTTTCAGTTGTGTGTGTGAGAGCGTTTCAGTAGTGTGTGTGAGAGCTTTAAAAGTCAGTGTGTGTGTGAGAGCGTTTCAGTTGTGTGTGTGAGAGCGTTTCAGAGTGTGTGTGAGGCGTTCAGTTGTTGTGTGAGAGCGTTTCAGTTGTGTGTGAGAGCGTTTCAGTTGTGTGTGTGAGAGCGTTTCAGGTAGTGTGTGTGAGAGCGTTTCAGTTGTGTGTGTTGAGAGCGTTTCAGTAAGTGTGTGTGAGAGCGTTTCAGTTGTGTGTGTGAGACGTTTCAGTTGTGTGTAGAGCGTTTCAGTTGTGTGTGTGAGAGCGTTTCAGTAGTGTGTGTGAGAGCTAAAATTTCAGTAGTGTGTGTGAGAGCGTTTCAGTTGTGTGTGTGAGAGCGTTTCAGTAGTGTGTGTGAGAGCGTTTCAGTAGTGTGTGTGAGAGCGTTTCAGTTGTGTGTGTGAGAGCGTTTCAGTAGTGTGTTGAGAGCGTTTCAGTTGTGTGTGTGAGAGCGTTTCAGTTGTGTGTGTGAGAGGTTTCAGTTGTGTGTGTGAGAGCGTTTCAGTAGTGTGGGTGTGAGAGCGTTTCAGTAGTGTGTGTGAGAGCGTTTCAGTTGTGTGTGTGAGGAGAGCGTTTCAAGTAATAATGTCCCTTACGGCACCTCATACAGAGCTGGGCTGTTCTTCAGACCTGCAGGTTGTTGTCGACCCGCAGCTCCTGAGAGCTGCAACGATCATGTTTTATGTAGCGCGCTGCTAAAGGTCGCTGTGGTTTAATTAAAGCTTAATCGCTGATCCCGGCGCTCTGAACCACAGAACAACCCAACGACACATCTGCCAGCAGCTGGTTTACAAATCAGTTATTAACCAATTAGCAGTGATTACTGATGGGGCCACAGGCTGCTAACAGTAACAACGATCAGCAGCACGATGGAGCCGTTTCTTTGGTACTTTCTGTTTATGCATAAACGATTTCTTTATGTGAAGAGTTTCTGGAAGTGTTTCACCAGGAAGAGCCGACCGACACTCCGTCAGTCTTCTGAAAGCCTCTGTTGGCTTTTTCACGTCTGAGTTGTTGAGTGAACGCCGCTGCAGGAGGACGTGCTTCAGGTCTCGACTCTTTTAGTGGCACAAACGTCTGTTTTCTGCGTCGCACGCCACGAAAACCCAAAACGCCCACATCTGACCCGAGCGACCTCCTGACAAGCCGCGTTGACGGGACGACGGCTTCGCCTGTAAATGAGGTTTCTGTCAGACTGAAAGGTCAAGCGGGCACACTCCATCAGACGTGACAGCTGATAAAGACGCGGAGGTAAGACCGAGGAGTCTCCCGGCTCGTGGAGCTGTAATTGGCCTCGTCGCTTGGAGTGCTCGCACAGATGAAGCACAGCACTCGACACGCTTTCAACCTTTCGAAGTGACGGCCGGCGGGACGGATTTCGTTTCAGGTGGTTGTGACACAGATTTACAACATGAAGTCTGACACGTTTAAAGACCAACACTCGGACGCTGTGTGTGCTGCGGTCTGGCTCAGGGCCGAACCTGCCTGATGTGGCGTACTCACAGTGCGGGCTCTCCTTGCCGCCGGCTTTCAGCAGCAGCTTGGCGATGGGCGTGTTGTTGGTCATGATGGCGATGTCGAGCGGCGTCAGGCCCTGGCTGTTGGGAGTGTTCAGGTCCAGCTCCTCGGCCGAACACTGGTACAGAAGGATCTGCACGGCGTCCAGGTCCTGCTGCTCCACCGCCTCGAAGATGCAGTCGCTGCCCTGCATCGTCTGAAAGTGAGAACCAGCATTTTACCAGTCTGACACGTGGTCACGTGACTTATGACACAAACCAAAGGTGAAGATCATACAAACCTGGAGCCAAAACAAGCAAAACAACAGGAAGCTAAACAACAACCATCGAACGGCAGCGTTTCCTGATCCACAGTCGGAGCTTCCTGATGGTTCATGAGCCCACAGTGTCTGAAACACCGAGCTCTCTGGGCGCTCGCTTTACACCAATCATGTCATTAAGCAGCCGCCAGATGTTCCAGCAGCTGTTTGACATCTTTAAAGAACAGATAACATTTCTCAGTTCCACGTGTCACGAGTTTAAAAAACGCCGCTGCTCGGATCATCTGTACGTCTCCCACCGCGCTGCTTCATCCCCCTCAGACCTCACGTGCAGCATCCTTTCAGGCGCCGCGGGGACATCACCGCGTGAAACGGACACGTATGACATGTGTGCACGATCATGTGGTTACCATGGGAACAGGCGTGCAGGAGTTTCGTCAGTGAGACGAGCCGTCCTCAGGATTCCTGATCTCTCCACGTTTGTGCCGAGACACTGTGTGTGTGTGACTGTGAGTCTGTCGGTGAGCTCAGGTCACATGACACTTTATTCAAAGAGGAAGCAGCTGAAAACGACCTTTTTGCTGACGTGGAGATGAGATGATTTGAGTCACTTTCACTCTTTAATCTGCTGATTCTGAGGCTGCGTCCACACGTACACGGGTATTTTTGAAAAAACGGAAAATCTCCGTTTTCATTTTCAAAAATAATCCCGTCCACACATAAAGGCAGAAATGAAGGAAAATGCTGCTAGGAACATGCCAAAGCAACAGGTGGCGCTAGATTCCTAACCGTGTAGAAATGTTGGCCAATCAGAAGTCTAGAAGCCTCGGTGGGAAAAAGTAAACAAAGCTGGGGCATAGAAGCAGAACCGAGTCGTATGTGTGGAGGGACAGTAACTGTGTGTATATGTGAGCATTTAAACACTGCAGAGAGTAACAGTAACAGTATTGTAGAAATTCATTTCACCGAAACAATAACGTGGCGCACAGTGTGACATCAAAAAAAGCGCACACCTTTGACGCTGAGTTTTCCTCGTCCACACGTAAATGCAAAACCAGAGTTTTCGAAAATATCCACCTGGCAGGCGTTTTAGAAATCTCCGTTTTCAGTGACCGAAAACGCCGTTTACGTGTGGACAGAAGGTGCAAACGCATTGAAAAATCTGCGTTTTCTAAAATACCCGGGTACGTGTGGACGTAGTCTGCTGACTCGCTCGAGCGTCGCTCAGCGTCTCTGAAACGAGCCGCCTGTTCTCACTGAGCTCACAAACAGCGAGTGAAACCGTGGCGACCTGAGATCTGCCATCGGTGACAGGATTCAACCAGCAATGAAAAGTCTGGATTCTGACGAGCTGTCAAAAACTGACCAGCAGAAACTAAAATAGAGCAGTTATCATGTATTATTATCATACTTAGTCACACTGAACTGGATTATTTGTTATTATTTTAATTTAATCTTTGTAAACAGCAAAAGAAGAATTTATTATTCAGGGAAAAATGTTTCTTTACTGACCAAACTTCAAACTTTACTTTAAATACTTCAGAATTTTACATACTTGTACTTTATACTTTGTACTCAACAGTAATCACACTTTATTTCATTATAAGACTGGTAGACATAAAAAATACTGTAATATAATGTAACATGAATGACTGTAACTAATGATTAATTAGTCCGTTCATTTATAAATGCACTGTAATTTAAAACAATCACGCCAGAATATTAAAACTTTACTTATTTATGGGTTTTATAGTTAAACATTCCTGTAATTATTATTATAAATATACTGTATTTGCCATATATTATAATCACATCGTCATATTACACTCATCATACTGCAGTGTAATTACACTACAGTATGTCAGTTACAATGTAACTGCAGTGAAATTACAGACCCAGCCTCATGCTCTCATGTTTAACTAAAGTTAAACTAATTCTTCATAAACTGTATTAAACTAATTTATTAACGTCACAATGTAATTATAAAAATGTAATAATAATATTTATATAAACAGAATATTTCACTGTATTTAATTACAAATAATGTAAATACAATATTTATAATTACACTATAATTATTTATTGCAACTCTGTACTAAGATGTTTATGTGTTTTCATTTATTATCACTACACTTTATATTACACTAATTATACAATAGTTACACTAATGTATTGTAATTACACAGTAATCTATTTATAATTGTGGCATAACCAAAGTTGTATTCAGTGTATTTGCACTACGTTTCTCGATGTTTCAGTTTAACCTGAATGAGAGAGAGACCACATGTCAAACCCGAGTGTTGGAAACGACTTTTGAATGTTTCCTCCTCACAGAGTAAAGAAGCAGCGAGGAGGAAGCTGATGAAACGGGAACAAAGTGTTTCTCTGCTCAGGCTGGAAACGGCTCCTCCTTCACTTGTCTCTGTAGACGTGACGGCAGCGAGCGGAAACTTTTTGTTCTTTGTCAGGCTGACAGAGGGCGGAAGCGACCATCCACAGCGTGGCGGCTGCTTTCAGGTTTATCACAAAGCGTGTGAACAGAGAAACATCCTGCAGGCCGCTGCGTGGCTGTTATTGCTGAGGGCGGCGCCGCGCTGAGCTATGCCTCCTGAAACCACAAAGCCTTTAACAGAACACAGAGCCGGGTGGTGCAGGTGGAGCTGCAGACCATCAGACGCGACGTGGGCCCTGGTTCAAAGTTGGATCAGGCTTCTGGATTTAGAAACAGCTTTGAGGTTTGAAGTGGCGACATCACCAGTGTCGGTTTGGGCTCACTTCAGTTCTGTTAGTGATGTTTCCACCTCTCTTTGACTGGATTCAGTCACCTGTGACTGGGTTTGGAGGTGTTTCCTGGACACTCGCCTGGTGGACCAGTCACAGTTTTTCAGTCCGTGTCGGTGTCTTTAGGATTAAGATCAATGGTTGTGGTTTTAAACTAGATCACGATCGTGAAACACTTGTTGTGTGGACTGAAAGTGTCTCATGTAGTCCTGGAGGTTTGCTTTCCTGCTGCCGAACGACTCTGAACAATCTGCAGCAGCGGTTCAACTTCTAAGAACTAAAGACAGTTTCAGGTGCAGCCCTTGCACAGCAGTTTGGGAACGAGCTTCCGTCATCCTGGATTCAGACGGTTTTGTTTGTTTCTACTTGTTACTCTGAACCTGGTGTTGTGTTTACACCAGAGATGGGTTTGAACTTGTTTGGTATGGTTTACTATCTCGACTGGTTCAGCTGATACTAATTTACAGCTCAGATTTGGGACGTCCTTGAGAACTCGCCACAGCTGTTCTGTGGACACTGGACTCCCATTGGATGGTTTTTGGACTTTGTTGGGGTTGGTTATTATCTTTGTTTTGGAGAACCTTACCCTGGTGTGTGTTTTGTGGATTTGTCTCCCTCCATCTGCTGCAGGTCTTTGTGAGTTTGGGCTCCTGCAGAATGAACACGGGGACCTTTGGATGGTGGAGATTTGGACTGTGAGCCTAAACGTGAGCAGAGTTCTGCAGATCGACTCGTACTCGCTGTGCTTGGAGGCTTTTGTTTCCTCCCCCGTCTGCCTCTTTGTTTCATGTCTGCTGCTGTGGCTGGTTTGTAAATGTCAGCAGGCTGGCAGAGAGAGTGCGCGTGCAACATGACATGTAACACTTGTCACACATGATGAGTCGCCGCAACCAAATGTTTCGCAGGGCAGCAGGAAGGCGGCGACGATGGCAGCAGACAGAGACGAGCCTGAGAAAAGATGGCGTGTTGCTACAAACCAAAGACGGCGTCCACAGTGTCCTCGAGTGAGGCACGTAACTCCACGTTCTCAGTTCACCGAACTCTGCAGCCGTGGAGTGACGAACAGTCTGTCTTTACGATGCTGGTCTGAGATCAGATGAAAGACGCGACAGTCGAGAGCAGAGGCTCTGACGACATCGCCGGTAACAGAATTAGCGAAGCGCGTTTCTCGATCCTTCTGTCAGAGACGGGGTTTCCCCCGTCAGGCCAGCCATCGCCACGGCAACATTAGCACAAGAAAAAAGCATCACATGAACATGTGGAGAGTTATCACAGCTTCATGATCAGGATACAGGAGTTTTTTTAAAGACTCGATCTGAGCGAATACCTGAACATCAGTGCCTGCACGCTCTCTGTGTTACTGTAGCGTAACAGCGCTGTGACACCTGTGCTACCTGTAATTCGGTGCTATGTAAATAAAACTGAACACATTAATGATGATTAAAACACCTTTATTCATGTTTTTGTGCCGTATGTTAGTGTTTTATTCAGAAAACAGTTTCCAGCTGCTGAAATGTGAAGCTTGTTTGCTGTGTGAGCGTAAAGCACGTCTGCAAACAGACTCAGCCATGCGGTGACAGGATAGTTTCACTGCTGACTTTCACACTCATCCCAAGACGTAAAGAGACTTCCTGTTTGCTGCATTGATGAAGACTGGATGAGTTTCTGCTAATTAGGACACAAATTAAAGCTGGAGGCTGACTAAGAGGACGCATTAGTCAGTGCGCCCCAGGGTGGCTGTAGCTACAATGTAGCTGCCATCACCAGTGTGTGAATGTGTGGATGACTGTGTAAAGCACTATACAAATACAGGCCATTTACCATTTACCATTAGCTTAAATGGATTTTTGAGCGATGAACTGTCAGAGTAACATCGGCCTCGTGCGGCTCTTTGTGTTCAAACCCCGCAGGATTCATGTCCAGCGTCTGTGCTGCAGTTAAAACAAACCTGCCGTGTTAACTAAGTAAAGTGATGCAGTGACCGAGGCGCGCCTGAACTCACCGAGGCTTTACGGAGCCGATCCGTCTTGCCAAAGAAGTAGGCATCTTCGAAGGAGGAGGTGCTTCCTCGCAGCTTCTCCGACAGGTTCCTGTAGAGGCGCTTGGCGGCATTGGGGGAGGCCGGCCCGCCGGGGCACTTCCTGGTCTGGGACAACTGTAGGTTCTGCATCTGCTGCGTCATAACACCCGGGAGGCGTCTGCTGGGATGGAAATGCAAAGATCGACGTTAGCTGTTGGGATAAAGCATCGGATACAGACAAACAGGGATCACATGTGTCATCAAATGTTAATTACAGCTTTGGCATCCTCATAGAACCAGAGTTATGCTGAGCAACCACTGCTTACTCTGGACCCGTTACCATCACAGGATCCTTTACATCAGTAATGCTGACAGACTAGATCCTAAAGCAGCTGCCAAAACCACCAATCAGAACCTCTGAGGACGTCCACAGTTTTACAGCACGCGGCAAAAGTCGAGGCAATAAACATGTCTGTGAAGGTTCTCAGTCATCCAGGTCATCGTAGTCAAAGGAGCTTGCAAAGAAAAGCGTCTGGACTTCTTTAAGTTACTTGAAGACGTTTCACCTCTCATCCGAGAAGCTTCTTCAGTTCTAAGGTCAAATGGTGGAGAGTCCCAGATATAAACCTAGTGGGAGTTTCCCCCCACAGAGGGACAAAAGGACCCCTGATGATCCTCTAATCACATGAGCCAAGGTGGGAAACTGGGTGTGGGTCACAATCAGCCAGAGTTTCGGGTGTGTTCATTGTGAAACCTGGCCCCACCTTATCATGCGAATTCCTGAGGTCAGATGGCCCAGGATGTGAGTGGGCGTTAAGGCGTCTGGAAGGATCTCAAAACTGGATTATAGATGGCAGAGAGTTGGTGTCGTAAACCCCGCCTCTGTTCAAAGATGGTCGCTCACAGTGGACATAGATGGCTTCTTTCACTCCTCTTTCAAACCATCTGTCCTCTCTGTCCAAAATGTGAACATTGGCATCCTCAAAGAGTGTCCTTTATCCTTAAGATGCAGATGGACTGCTGAGTCTTGTCCTGTGGAGGTGGCTCTTCTGTGTTGTGCCATGCGCTTGTGAAGTGGCTGTTTGGTCTCTCCAATGTAGAGGTCTGAGCATTCCTCGCTGCACTGTACAGCATACACCACATTGTTAAGTCTGTGTTTTGGCGTTTTGTCTTTCGGGTGAACCAGTTCACTGCGCACATTAACGCTGTGGATAAAAACATCAAGTTCACCAGGGAAGACACAAAGGACGACTGTTTGCCTTTCCTGGACTGCGCTGTGCACATTGAAGAGAACGGCAACCTCAACATTGAAGTTTACCGGAAGCCCACACACACGGACCAGTACCTCCTCTTTGACTCCCATCACCCTCTGGAACACAAACTTGGAGTAATTAGGACCCTACACCACCGGGCAGAACATGTTCCCTCTAAGCCTGAAGGAAAAAAGAAGGAACACACACATGTAAAGGAAGCACTCAAAACGTGCGGCTATCCTAAATGGGCGTTCTCAAAGTCAGCAAAGAGGCACAGAAAAGAAGACCAGACACCAGCGAGGGAGGATAAGAAGGACAGACGCAACAACATTGTCATCCCCTATGTAGCCGGTGTATCAGAGACACTCAGGAGAGTTTTCTCCAAGCATGACATCCCAGTGTATTTCAGACCCAGCAACACACTCAGACAGAAACTGGTTCACCCGAAAGACAAAACGCCAAAACACAAACTTAACAATGTGGTGTATGCTGTACAGTGCAGCGAGGAATGCTCAGACCTCTACATTGGAGAGACCAAACAGCCACTTCACAAGCGCATGGCACAACACAGAAGAGCCACCTCCACAGGACAAGACTCAGCAGTCCATCTGCATCTTAAGGATAAAGGACACTCTTTGAGGATGCCAATGTTCACCCACTCACATCCTGGGCCATCTGACCTCAGGACTTCGCATGATAAGGTGGGGCCAGGTTTCACAATGAACACACCCGAAACTCTGGCTGATTGGGACCCACGCCCAGTTTCACACCTTGGCTCAGGCGATTAGAGGATCATCAGGGGGTCCTTTTGTCCCTCTGTGGGGGGAAACTCCCACTAGGTTTATATCTGGGACTCTCCACCATTTGACCTTAGAACTGAAGAAGCTTCTCGGATGAGAGGTGAAACGTCTTCAAGCAACTCAAAGAAGTCCAGACGCTTTTCTTTGCAAGCTCCTTTGAGGCACTAAACACGTTTGTTTATCTCAGGTGAAAATAATCCACAGACTCTTCCATTAAGTCTCAAACATGATTCAATTCATTAAAATAACTGTCTGTTACTCGAATCTCCATCTTTGACCAGAAAACTGTCAAATTATATTTCCCACAAATGAGCCAGGAGGAGCTGGTGTGAGCTTGTCGTGGAGCTGGTCAGGAAGCATAAAGAGTCAAACTTGATTAAAGATAATGAATATTCAGCCTTTATAAAAGGCTGCAGCATGTATAAAGTTTCAACCTGTCAGTGGTCCTGCTCTGCTTGAAACCCCTTCAGCCGTCGCATTGTCAAAAAAATCCATTCAGTTTTTGATCAGGCAGCTAAACGGCTTCCCGTCGCCTCCGGCCCTCGCTCGCTCTCCGCATTACGCCGGGATAAGTTCAACATGTCACTGAAACGAGGAGACTGTCAAACGGCTCCTGCAGGGAACTAAAGAAGAAAAAGCTGCTCTCGCTGCTCAGCCTGAATGGAAAAGAGAAGCACGTTGAGTCCTGTCAGGGTTGAGCAGCAGGCCCAGAAACTCGGCGTTTACCTGTTTGTGCTTTTGCCTTTTTTTCTTTTGCATCACTTTGCTCTCTGCACGCAAAACAACAACAACATTTTTTAAACAGGAAACATTCAGAGCTGCTTTAACTCACAGATTCAACACAGTACTGGAAACATTCCTTTTGGTCCATGGTTACATGACATCATCGCGACATCAGCTGCAGATTTGTCAGCTGCATCCATGAGGACAGTCCCGTTCCTCCACCTCCCAGAGCTGTTGGACCCGTGACTGTGGAGGCCGTCTGAGGGCAGTGGACTCGTCTCCATAAAGCAGAGATGAGCTCCTGCTGGAGACACTGTGGTCGACGGACCTGGTCAGCAGCAACCGCTGACACGGGCAGGATGGACCCGTGCCACCAATGTCCACCAGCCGACGCTCATCGGACCAGGAAGTGTTTCTCCACCTTCCGGTGTCCGGGTTTGTGAGTCTGTGTGAATCGTAGGCTCAGCTTCCTGTTCTCACCGACAGGAGTGACCTCTGACCGTGCTGCTGCTCCCTGGAACTTTTCTTTGTAGACTCAGAGGTGGTTGGTGGGAAAATCCCAGTTGTGCTGTGTTCAGAGTCCCTGATTCAGAGACTGATGCTGCCTTGTGATTGGCTGATTATTGTTTGAGCAGGTGTACCTAATGAAGTGGCTGGATAGTAAATGATGTAAAAGATGAAGCAGAAAGTAACACCCCCACTCAGCCCATGTGCATGAGTCTGACAGAGCTGCATGATGTGACGCCTCCAGCTGCTCCAGATGTTTGCTGTAACACTTTTCCAGTCGTTATCATCATAATGATTCTGTGACGTCAGCTCGCTCTGTCCGCCGTTTGATGCATATTTAAGCTCAGCGTCGCCTCGTCACAAGCTTTTCTCTTATTACTGCCTGACTCTTCTTCTTCACACCTGCAGCGAGGCGCCCCCGGCTGGTACCCAATGAAAGCTGCCGCTTTGCCCAACCATCGTGGCCTCAGTCCAGTAAGACCTCGCTGAGCCGCCACGCTGTGGCTGATTGGCTCACTTACTCCGCACCGTGTGTGTCACAATCATCACATCAGAGGGAAAATGGGCTTCGGCGGCTCTGTGTCTGAAACCAGAGCTTAATTTGCTCGCAGGATGGCGAGGACGGTCGTTTAGAATAGCAGGTAATCAGTCCGCTAATGAATTCGCCATAAAAACCTGCTGTTAGCAAAATGACTCATGATTTAATCCTGAAGCCTCGAACACAAAGGAAGGGAGACTGGATTAAAAAATACATCTCATTTTCAAACCTCTAAAACATGAAGAGCTGAACGCTAAACTGTGGGGAAAGCAGAGGCAAACATCACGTATTTAACACGATTCAGTGTGGCGGCATTTAGAGCAACAACTTTCATCAGGATGTGGGAAGCACAGAAATCATTCAGGAGCAGATGATACAAACAAGCGCCCATCCTAACAAACCCAGTGTCACCATGCTCTCCTGTGGACAGCTCGGTCTGGTACCATTTCTCACTAAAGCAGACTCACACATTTACAGCCCGTTCTGGTCTCCCCCTTCGTACCCCCTGTAGGGGGGAGACTCACTTTAGTTATGTATTACTAACAGAGCGAGTGACAGCGTAGTGTGACATGGAGCTGCTTCAACACCAGGAGAAGAAACAAACCTCCTTTGGGGTTAAGAATGGATGTGCAGCTGAATTAGCTGCTTACAGTAAGTAATGTGCTGAAAGCAGCTGTTCAAAAAACAGGACATAATGAGCATTGGAGCGTTTTAAACCCCACACAGGATTTCTGTGGATACAATTCAATTCAATCTATTTATACAGCGCAAAGTCACAACCACAGTCGCCTCACGGTGCTTTATATTGTAAGGTCGACCCTTACAATAATACATACAGACAACAATCATATGACCCCCTATGAGCAGCACCTTGGCGACAGCGGGAAGGAAAAACTCCCTTTTAACAGGAAGAAACCTCCGGCAGCACCAGGCTCAGGGAGGGGCGGGGCCATCTGCTGTGACTGGTATCCAGTATCCACCCAGCAGACTAACAGAAACCAGAGAGGTCGTCACGGAGCGTGTTTTTAAAGGTCATGGAGCTCCACAGGGCTCTGTTACTGATCCTCTACTTTTTATTTACCTTTCACTTATATTCTTGTTTGTAAAACGACAAAATGTTTCCTCCTTCAAAACAAATGCAGAGGGGAGGATGTTTTTATAACTCACCTGTTTAAATTATATTCAGGCTCAAAGTTTGCAACTGAACAGAGTTGTGGGCTGTGTTTATGCTGAGCCTTTCTAATGGGGCCTGACTGATATTGGAAATCTGCTGACAGAAAATAATGTTTACTTTCAGACATGAAACAAAGAGATTCCCTGAACATTTATTATGAGCAGCTCTATTATTTACTTGCTTACACCATTCCCCACTGTTCAGGTCAGCTGGTTGATTTCCTGGCATTCCAAAAATTTGTGTAGCCAACAGGGAAGCTGCAGAGTGCCCCCTGGTGGACAAACTATGCAACATCAAGTCTGAAAACATCCATCCAATCATCCATCTTCATCCGGGGCCGGGTCGCGGGGGCAGCAGCCTAAGCAGAGAGGCCCAGACCTCCCTCTCCCCAGCCACCTCCTCCAGCTTATCCGGGGGAATACCAAGGCGTTCCCAGGCCAGCCAAGAGATATAATCTCTCCAGCGTGTCCTGGGTCTGCCCCGGGGCCTCCACCCGGTAGGACATGCCTGGAACACCTCACCCAGGAGGCGCCCAGGAGGCATCCTTGTCAGATGTCCGAACCACCTCAGCTGGCTCCTTTCGATGTGGAGCAGCAGCTGCTCTACTCTGAGCCCCTCCCGGATGGCCAAACTTCTCACCCTATCTCTAAGGGAGAGGCCAGCCACCCTTCGGAGGAAGCTCATTTCCGCCGCTTGTATCCGCGATCTCGTTCTTTCGGTCACAGCTCGTGGCCATAGGTGAGGGTAGGGACGTAGATAGACCGGTAAATTGAGAGCTTCACTTTTACACTCAGCTCCCTCTTCACCACGACGGACCGGTGCAGCGTCCGCATCACTGCAGCCGCCGCACCAATCCGTCTGTCGATCTCCGCATTCTCCCATCACTCGCGAACAAGACCCCGAGATACTTGAACTCCTCCAAGTGGAGGAGTCTGAAAACATGAGTTTTAAAATGTCCATATTCATCAGCTGTTATAAATCCTAATATAAAATAGCTCGAGATTCAAGCTTTATTAGACAGTTATTTGACAAATGACAGGGCTGCTGGTTTCACTAAAACACTGTCCAAAAACTCTGAGCTCCAGTTTTGGAGAGTAAAATTCGAGGCTTCTGACTGGATGTTACTGATTATCAGATTATTGCGTCTGAGTGAAGCTCTCACACTACTACAAACAAAAGCATGGCGACAACCATGAAGCTAAAAATCATGGGTCCGGATGTTAGGCTTGCTGTGCTCACCATGGCGAACGGCGGCATACAAATGACGTCACATCCACAGAGGCTGCAGAGCAACCTTTGGTCTTTGTAACACAGAGAGACGCTGCGACAGCCTGAAAATATGAAACGTTCTGCAAGAAAACTCGCAGGTTTCCAGGTCGGACTGGTTCTTCTGCTCCTGTATCAGCACTGATGTGGCGGTTCGGCCTGAGCGGCGACACCTATCGTCCGGGTGGAAGCCAGTACCCGCCCTGGTGTAAATGGACAGGAGCTGTGCGAAGCGGCCATTGCTGTGGACACAAAGGGACCCTCGGGCATCGCAGAGGTTTCTTATCTTTAAGGGCCCAGCTGGCTCTCTGCAGCTGACATGACTCTGTTAGAAATAAATGGATTTCTTTGCTAATCTTGAGCATCTGTAACCTGGAATAACCAGCACCCCCACTGAAAGGCTAATTTCACCTCCAGCTGTGAGATCGGCTGCTTTTACACCTTTCAGGTTTCAGCTCAGATGGTTCTTCTCATCATTTCACTCGTTTCTTTGTGGAAAAGCTCTCAGCCTTCATGTGTGTGAAAGCAAAGCTGTGCTGCAGTCAGGAGGGAGTCGGGAGGGCCTGAAGCTCATGCTTAGTGTTTGTTAATGTTACAGTAATGGCTCACACACAACTGTGTGTGTGTGTGTGTGTGTGTGTGTGTGTGTGTGTGTGTGTGTGTGTGTGTGTGTGTGTGCTGGTCACTGATGAGAGAAAAGTGTAAATTATTAAAGAGGAACAAATTGGTTTTGTAAGCGTTGTGAGGAAGCGCAGTCAGGAGGCATCGACTTCACTGTAAAAACACTCAAATATTCATTCACCAATTAAAACAGCCGCAGCGGTTTACTCTCTGATGACAGAATTTGTCAGACACCTGCAGCAGGTGAGCCCCGCCCCCCACCTGCAGGCGCTTCCCCAGGTGAGATCAAAGTCTGCCCACTGCCCACCTGTGAGGATTAATGTTGGACAAACTGCAGATTTCTGATTATTCAGTGCAGGTCGTGCAGGCTGACTCAGAGCCTCGCAATCACGACACGTTTGTGTGCGCTGCAGGTTGTCATCACCATCGTTCTCCAGATCAATGAGTGACTGGAAACAATGCAGCCTTGAAACAGTCAGTGAGCTTCCTGTTCACGCAGCCACTCACATCAACACACACACACACACACACACACACGCACACACAGACACACACACACACACACACACACACACACACACACACACACACACACACACACACACACACACACTACAATCAGTGTTAAACTTGACCGGAAACACAGCTCAGAGGTCAAAGGTCACACTTCTTCTCATGCATGCACGTAACCATGGCAACGGTGACTTCTCAAACTGACCACAAACACGCTGATGCTCCAAACGCTCACGTCCCTCCTTTTCCACAGACTGTATATAAAAGACAGACACACTGCCGCCGCAACACGGCCCTTATAATGCAACACAAACAGGTAAACAGGTGTGCACAGTCGTGGGGACTGTGCGTGTGTGTCTGCGTCTGTGTGTGTGTGTGTGTGTGTGTCTGCGTCTGTGTGTGTGCGTGTTTGTGTGTGTCTGCGTCTGTGTGTGTGTGTGTGTGTGTGTCTGCGTCTGTGTGTGTGCGTGTTTGTGTGTGTCTGCGTCTGTGTGTGTCTGCGTCTGTGTGTGTGCGTGTTTGTGTGTGTCTGCGTCTGTGTGTGTGTGTGTGTGTGTGTCTGCGTCTGTGTGTGTGCGTGTTTGTGTGTGTCTGCGTCTGTGTGTGTCTGCGTCTGTGTGTGTGCGTGTTTGTGTGTGTCTGCGTCTGTGTGTGTCCTCACCTGTCCAGGCTGAGTGAGGATCGGGAGTCTCCCGAGCAGTACAGCGGCTTCAGGTCTTTGATCAGAGCATCTCCTGCCAACCTCTGGTTCCACCTCTGAGCCAAGCGGGAGGTCTTACTGTCCGACCTGACACACACGCACGCACGCGCGCACACACACACACACACACACACACACACACACACACACACACACACGCACACGCACACGCACACACACACACACACAGTGGGTGGGTGAAGTATATCTTCAGCTTCTCAGGAAAGCCCAAACAGCTCAGGGAGAAGAGGAGGAGAACAGCATGTACGTTCTAACACGCTGCATCGACCTGTGAACCTGAAAATCTGCTGCTGTGTGAGAGGACTTTGTTCAGTAAGTGATGAGCGTCTGTGGGGGAAAAGACGAGAACGCCGTGGATCCACGTGGACCGTACCGCGGTCCGGGGTACACCTGTCGGATCAAAGTTGTACCTAAGCTGCCGAGGCGGAATAAAACAGCTAAAGTTTGGATTCTGTCTCCGGATGCTCGGCGAGGCGCCGCGATACTCACGGGAGCAGCTGCGGGTCGGGTCCTCCGAAGGAAGTCTACCAGGCTGCTCAGCAGCAGATCTCTCCCAGCGCAGAGGCTCCTCGGCTGGGTTAAATCTCTCTGACTGAAGCCTCCCGGCAGCCTCCGGCTCTCTGCGGCATCTCTGAGGGGTGGGGGGGGACTGCAGCCGCCCCCCAGCTACGATGCTTGGTCCGATCCGGGGATGCGAGCGAGCGAGCGTCTATCTGCTCTCTGCTCCGGAGCGCCGGCTGAGACTGAGCGGACACCTGTTCACCGGAGAGCGCATCGCAACGCACACACTCAGCAGAGGGAGGGAGGAGTAACGATGTTTGAGAGAAGCACACACTCTAAGAGCAGGAGTGTGCGATGGAGGAGGGGCGGCAGTGTTTGAAAAGCCGGAGAACAAAAGGGGGAGAGGAGGGGAGGCAGCGGAGCGAGGAGGTGAGAGACGAGGTTTACTGCAGCTCGCAGGAATCAGCAGAAAAATAAAAACGTGAACGTGAAACGATGCTGCGAGCGACCGTCAGTCAGACCCGTCAATCCTGAGCGTCTCTGATGACCTGCACTCGGAAACAAGACGCGTCAGCCTCAACGACGCCAACGGTTTAAAATCCAGGTCTTAGAATCATTTAGAGCAGATTAAAGAGAAAAAAAGTAAAAATTCAAGTAAAACATTTCAATCAAACTATATTTCTGAGCAACACTCGGCATTCTGCAGCGAGAGGAATCTCTGTGTGCGATTCCTGTCGGGTGATGAAGAGCAGCTCGAGCTATTTGCAGTCCTTCACGGTGCAGCGAGGAGTAAAGAGCTTCTAAACACTGCAGTTAGCCAGCGTTAGTTTGTTTCATGTTACCATCTTCAACTCGCTGTCGTTGGGCAGGTTTGACGTCAGGACGCTCGGAGGCGAGCAACATGTTTGTGCTCGTGTCAAAGGTCACGTGCTGGATTTGAACCTGCGACGCTGGACTCCCAGGTATCTAAGCAGCTGTTTGCTCCCACCTGCCGAGCCTCTTCTTTACAACCCGGCGTGGAAAACTACCGACCTCCCCGGGACATTAAAGGAGCAGTTGGCACAAAACACAGCGCGGACGCTCCAATGGGCTGAGGGTCAAAGGTCACTGAGTGAAATCAGAGGCTGTCGCCGCGGTTTACAGTCAGCTCATGTTTGCTCTGCCTGCCTATGAGGTCACATCACAGCTGACGATTAGCGTGTGGCGGTTTGATCTTCCTGTAAAGGACCATTTCTCCTGATCTGAAGCTCATCATTGTCCTTCTGCACAGCACCTCAAACGCCTCGACCCACAGAAATGCCTGAAGTCACACTCTTCTCCACAGCGCCGCTCCTGCTCTCAGCAACATGAACAGTCACTGAGCTGATAACAACCCAGCAGCTCCGACAGGTTGTTATAAAGTTATGAAGCCTCGTGCCGGTCGGTCGAGACGACGGCACAAAAATCAAACGCAGCTGTAAACGTCTAAAATCCATCTGCTGTATTTGTGACTCGCTGCGAGCCGCACTCACAGCCGGAAAACAAATCCCAGTTTTCCAACTTTTCTTCTGGAACGCCCTCAGCTCAGGAACTCAGGACTGTCTGAGGGTTTCAGAGCTTTAAGATTCCCAGACTGAGGAGGAGAGCAGACAGATGTGAGGCTGATGAAGCTGGAAAAGCTAAACTGAGTAGAAAACAAGTAGAATAAAGCTTTGTAATGAAATACAATAATACCGTCTTTAAAGCTTTAAAAGCTCCTTAAAATACAGTCGAATTAAATAAAATAGAATAAAAATAAATTATTAAAGAACGAGCAGGACTGAAGTCTGAGGTGGCGTTCAGACCAATCGTCCGTGCAGATGTTTCCGTGTGACCATCAGCTGAAGTATTGTGGATAATTGTGGATAGAAGTGTGAATGAGGGGTGCGCTGCTGAAATGTGTCCCTGTGGAAACAGCAGCTGTGGGCGACAGCACGAGATCGGGGTTACTGACTGTAACTTCAGTTCTCTGAGTCCAAGCGCAGCCCCCCGACTGGCGACCATCACAGGTTCTAACCGCCGCAGTCAGACATGATTCCAGAGGTGAGGCGGGGCTTAACCTCACTTCCTGTCCCGTTGTAGCGTTCTGAATCCACCTGCAGGTGGGTGTGCGGTGGAGGAGCGCCAGCAGCGTAAACGGGACGTTTATCTGAGTTCACAGCAGATAAACATCAAACATGGAGATGAATCGTGCTTCACAGAGTTTCTGTGTTTGTTTACAACATTCAGCTCAGCACAGAACGAAGCTTTAAAGACCTTTTTTTCAGTTTTGATTCATTTTCTCTGCAGGCCTCAGCCTGAAGGTCACTGCTTTCCCTGCAAATGAAAGCATGATTATTGGAACTATTTTGAGCTGCGAATGAATCCATACGTGAGCTCCTGCGAGCCGAGGCCAAAGCAGACGGCGGCGTGTTTGTTTATGATGAAGGACGGTCGCAGGTGCGAGCGATGCAGCAGAGCGATGCAGCAGAGCGATGCAGCAGAGCGAGCTCTGCGAGACGTTACTGTGCATCCGCAGCCTGCAGCAGCCAACAAACAATCCGGTTTGACATCATAAACACAGAAAACAATTAATGTGCCGCGGAGACGAGCTGCGGCTGCTGCTCATTGGCTCAGAGCTGCCACAGCAGCGCTCTGTTTCCATGGTTCCCATTCAAGCGCAACAGGTGAGGGAGAGACGGAGGGAGAAACAATGGAGGCTCCTGCAGGTTCAGTTTGCACCACGCAGGCATGCACATCACCTCATCTGAATATTTGCACACACGCCTCTCTGCTTTGACTTTCTGCAAAGCAGCAAACACGCAAAGATCCGCCTCCGCCTCCGCCTCCTTCGGGCAGAGATCTGCAGCCTGGAGTAAACGGTCCAACATTTCCCGTCTGAGAACCACGACCTCGATCTCTTACCCTCTGGGCCCAGAGTTCTGCCTACAGGGACAAACCAAACCTCGCTTCACTCACAACCAGTAATCAGATTAATCTCACCATGACTCCCAGCAGGAACATTTCCACAGCAGAAAATAGTGAAAACATCCTGAGCATCACTGAACGCCTACAGCTTTCACTACTTCAATATGACAGGAAAAAAAGCTTTCAAAGTATTTATGTGAGTGAAGGAAACGAACATCCTGTTCTCTGAAAAATAACTGCAGCAACATTCGGGACGAACTCCGGCTGTGAAGCAGACACAGCCAGGTTTCACACCTCCACATCACAACACCCAAAACACATCGCAGCGTGACGGATGGTTTCTCAACATCCTCTTTTGGAGAAGATCAGTGAAGCTGCTCCTGTCTGTCCGATGGGTGCAAGGAAAACGATGCTGGAGTATGTTTGCTCACAGCCTCTGCTGCACAGTGTGGGAGCACGAATGCTGCTTCAGTTCCTGTAACGGGACTTAGGTACTGACCAATCACGTCAAACCAGGCCTCTTCATAAAGGTGAAGAGTCTGGGCACCATCAGCTGTCATCTGAAGGTGTTTCATTTTTCCACATCTGTCCACAAACACTGAAACAGGAAGTCCTGGATGTTTACTGGATACACACTGTTGGATCACAGTGCACTGTTTCACTGTTCCAAAGATCATTATTGGAAGGTTGTTGGTGGCGCGCTGTTCTGGATACAGGTCGCAGCAGATGGCCCCGCCCCTCCCTGAGCCTGGTTCTGCCGGAGGTTTCTTCCTGTTAAAAGGGAATTTTTCCTTCCCACTGTCACCAAAGTGCTGCTCACAGGGGGTCATGTGATTGTTGTCTGTATTATTGTAGGGTCTACCTTACAATATAAAGCGTCTTGAGGTGACCACTGTTGTGATTTGATGTATAAATAAAACTGAATTGAACTGAAGACTGTTGGTTTGTCTGGCGGTCGCTGTCGGTGCTGGCTGTGGCTTACTGTGGTTGGTGCTTGATTAGGGGTTGGTTGTAGTTGTGTTTGTTGTTAGGTGCTGTTTGGATGCGGTTGTCGTGCCTGAGCCGTTGCGTTGTTGTTTGAAGTAAATGTGATGTGTTGCTCTCCTCCTCTGCACTCCTGTCAGGCTGAACTGAAGCAGCGCTAAAAGCCTCTGAGCCGCTCACAGGTCATTACTGTTTAACAGCCCTCTGCAGCACAAACAGTGACTTAGTGAAACACTGCTGCTCACTGGAAAACCAGTCGAGGTGTGAGGAGGACGTCTCCGAACAAACCCTCCTGTCTGCGCGTGTGATTGGTCGAGGCGCCGATGTTGTCTCGTAATGACTCGTCGCTGACAGGATGTCGAGTCACGATTCTGCAGTATAGCACGAGGAGACGTAACTTTAATAGTGCGCGCCGTGTGTGTGTCGTGGTTTATGAGTGCGTGGGAGTTCTCCTCGGAGAGCGTGTGTCAGCGAGGAAATGACTCGCATCAGTCACAGAAATGGTGCGTTAGCGGCTTCCCGGGCGTCACACGACGACTGTTATCCCTCGCTGATGGACGGCCTCCGCTCGCAGCGGCGGCGGCGTGCCGCAGACTTCCCACGCTGATTCAGTTTGAGCCACCGCAGGGTCCGCTTCAATTTTACCTCTGCAGCAA